CTTACCTTTTCTTTACCTTTGTCTCTGTCTACCTCTTTTACATCTGTGAATCGCTCTTCTTTTCCCCACCCCTCGACTTTCTTCTACTTCGATGAACCTTCCCTCTGTGAAGCCTGAAGTCAGCTAAATGGCTAATGATAGCTATCAAAACGCCTGCCATTTGAAATAAATAAATAAATATTATGGGAAGCAAATACCAATTTATTAAAGCAACCAATTCATATATTTAAAAGGGGGTGTTATAAACCAGAACCAAAGAGAAGCCCAAAACGCATTTGGTAGAATAACTCCCAAATGCATATAGGAAAAGTTTGTTAAGAGAACTTATTTTTTGCTTAGAAGAGTGACATCACGGTAACACAATAGGGAGAAAAGAAGTATTTAGCCACCAACTTTATTGACCAGAGTTAATCAGTCAGCTTAATCATCAGCCTTACTAGTGGTGAACCGATGGACATCGAATCCATTACATATTTTAGCGAATACGCAAGCGGTACAATAATTTCGAAAGCAGAGGAAAAGAGTATCAAAAGGCTTACCTGTTCAGCATGATCCTCATCGAACTGCTGAATGGCTACACACATTGAGCGACCCATCTCGACAATCCTTTCAGCATGATCTGGCACAGCGTTGGGGCAACCAGAAACACAGTAGTAACAATCTCCCAGCGTTGCAATCTTCTCACACTGAATCATTTCACACAACCGGTCAAATCTACAAAGTTAAAACGTCGCCATTGAAATAAGCACCACAATATAAAACATCTTGCCAGCAAGACAAAGTTACTTCACGCACACACACATCCATCTATGGAGGTTCCAGATAAGTGGATATTAGGCTTGGAAGGCAAGAAAAGTTTCGTAGAAATATGAAAATCTCGAAATGCTCCAAGGCAATCAATAAGCTAAAAAAATTAAAACCTTGCAAACTAGTTAAGAAGGGACCACAGACGATTAATAAAAAGACGAATAGAAGGAAATCAAGCAAAAAATTGCAGCGAAACTAAGTAAAAGCGTCATAATTGATTACCGATTTGCGATTTTGAGTTAGAAATGCTTGCAGGAAATAAAGAACAACGTTACAACAGTATAAAAGCTTCTATGCGTAATTTGCCCGAATATTTCCAAAATTTACCTAGCACACAATGATTGACAGTTTCGTCTCATTACAAATCGCAACCAATTAATTTCCTATTGTTTCTAATTCTAATTGTGGTTTAAATAAGGGGAAGGTGTTTTGGAATAAAATCTCCAATAACTGCATTATATACACAAAGAACTCCGAAGAAAAGGCAAGTTTCGCTAACACTGAATACAAATACAAAAAGTGTGTCGGGTGTTCTGAATTAGCAGATCGTTAGTACCCACATAATCAGGGCAAAGAGCAAAAAACTGAACTTGATATAAAAAAATCTTTGGTGAAGCTCACCGAAGTGGGACATGTCAATTGTTATTAAAATTAGAAACAAACTCTGTCAGTAAACCTACTCAAAGAGCTTAAAGATGTTCCCTTACAATGCCGGTGGCTCTCTCCAAGACTTTGCCAAATTAGAAGGCCATCGACTTGACCAAAGGTGTATTGAACAACCATATAGGAATTAAAAGGAAGAGAAAGAAGTATGAAGATGCGACAATAAGCGGCCTTAAAGAATGAGTGAAAATGAAATAGTTATAAACAGGCCGAGTAATGCTTCGTCAGATGAAAGACCAAGAAAGTGAACACAATTGGCAGTTAGAATGGTGTACACATTTTTTCGTATAATTAAATAATAGCAACATCACCAATAGACTAATCAGCTAGTCTATTCAAGTAGGAAAAATGCACAAAAGGCAGGAGAGACCAATGAAACCTTCAAATGACTGCCCACCCAGTTCATTGCATATAACTCGCATGTCTGTTAAAGCAATTCTATGGCACTTATATAAAAAAATTTAATTATTAATTGTTTAATAAAAATGTACTTGTACATTTGTTTAAATGTGCTAAGTTGCCGAGTTGTTACAACTTTCTGTTTTGGAGTACGGCCTACATTTAAGGCAACAGCGTAACTTATATCAGTACCTAATTATTTGGATAGGTGTGTACGATAATAAAGTCAAAAAAAAACACTTTCCGTTCGGTATAACCCCGTTGTCAAAGCAGGCGGTGTTAGAGCCGAAAGTTTCCTCTTATCCTACACTCTTACAATTACGCCCCAGAGAGTAGAGAATAGAACAAATGTGCCCCAAAAATAAACTACACGATATGCAAGTACACAGGGGGGGGGGGTACAGGCAGTAAAAATAGAAATACGGTAAAAAGTAACCAAATGAGATGGAATCTTGATGCTGTTTAATATACGCTGTTAGTGAAGTGGTACAACTAAAAATTTATAAAGAATTTCGACGAACGAGGTTGTAAGCAACGCTTCAGAAGTTGATGTCCATGAATTAAGGATCAGTCATTAAATCAACTTACCATCAAACTCATACATTATACCTCAAAGCAAGTATAGTACCTTAAGCGTAAGCCAATAAGTGAGGAAAAGGTGTTTAAAAAGAAAAAAACATACACTTGGTGTTCAAATCAGCGACGTAAATGTAGTATGAGAAAAATACGCCAGCCGTAGTGGACTCTATTGTTAAGGCTACTGGACATTTCTTAAGCCATACCTATGTGAATTAAGTATAATATGTTGGATCATTAATATTCCCAATTATTACCTTCTATTGGTAAAACCGATAGGGCAAATATTTCGTTTAAATCCTCCACACATTTAAATGGCATAAATCTCACCTTAAAGTCTTTTAGCAAAAAGTTTGGCACTTTTGCCATTTTCGAATAACAATTTAACCTCCAACCGCAGCCAGTGCAATATTGTTTGCCATACATGGTTATCATTTCTACTCAGATTATTGAAAAGGGCATTAGTAGATACAGCGATTAAATGGATTCCACATATTTAGGCGATAATAATTATTTCGGAAGTTAGGCAATTTCCGTAAAGATCGCAAAATTAAGTTAATATTTCTTTCGGTGAAAAGGCGAATGAGGAAAGCAAAAAATCAGTTCATGTTACTTTGGCAAAAAAGAGAATTAAAGCCACGCAAAGAACGCGTTTCTTTTTTGAACAATACGCAAGCATGTATTATTGGATAAGAGCCCCGGTAGACATTGTAAATTCAATCTTTTTGAAGATGCAAATAATAACGGAAATGAGTTAACCAGATAAAGCCAAAAGTCAAAGGTAAATTGTTAGCTGTGCTCTAAGAATGAGAAGATTGCTCATTTTAATATTTTCTCAAACCGAGACTTACTAACCACTAAATGACACTCCACATTCCTGAATTAGTGTCGTTTATTGTTATTATGATCGGCTATACCAATTGACAACAAAATTCATAATGAATCGTGAAAACTCTATTAAAAAATTAATAGTAGGCAAAGAATATGAAGAAAAAATCCTTAAATTACTCATTGAAGGAAAGTGCAAATACGCCACCTTTTCATTTTATAATTAATCCCGGGGGTGAGGTGGGGGAGGGGGTCATTGCTTTTACCCCCCCCC